ATCTGCATGAAGGATAATCCTGTTCAGTAAGAGAGTAAATTCCCACGCAAAAGCATATCCAGCGAATCATAAATGTACCATTCTTAAATATTCATCTTACCGCGGCCTCGGTGGGATTCAAATCGATGCCAGCAAGAGGGAGGCTTAAGTATAGATTTATTTCCACGAAGGCCCACCATGAGCCATGAATTTAATCACACTTGGGTCGATTTACCCGCCCAGCCTACCGTTCGGCGGTATTCGAACGCACATCGGCAGTCAGCTTACTGCAGCATGCTGGGCGGGATTAAACTCACGGCTCCATTCAATCACCCTAATTTGTTTTGTCTCGCCCTTCCACACAGGAAAGATCCTTCTGGTTGATGGAGGCGTGGCCAATTTTACCAATGTGGCTAGAGCGTTGGCCGTACTAAAGCCTTCCTCACTTGCTGGCGTGGGTTCGAATTCTATCGAGGCCGCCGCGTTTATCATCAGTGGGCCAACTGAGTTACTAAAACCCACAAAACCTCCCTGTTAAGTAAGTGCGCCTAGTAGTCAGCTGATGGATACTAGACTGATTATTTAGAAAATCCTGCTTGGGCAGTCTTCTTACTGTATCCGATTTGGTGGATTCCATACGAGCAGTAGGCTGGGCGGGTATTTTGACCGAAGTCGCGATTAAATTCATGGCTCTGGTTGGGGACCCCTAGCTCAGTTGGCTAGAGCATTGACTGTACTAAAGCCTTCCCCACTTGCTGGCGTGGGTCCGAATCCCATTTAGACTGACGCGTTCATCATTAATGGGTCAAATGAGTTACTAAATTCAACCAAACCTCTCCGTTACGTAAGTAGGCCTGGTAGTCAGCTGATGGATAGCTTAGAAAATTCTGCCGGGGTAGTCAGAATCGGGTGGCTAAGCGAGCACATTGACACAGGTGTGATTAAACTTAAGGCCTCCGATAGGAGCGTCGTAGCTTAGTTAACTAGAGCGTTGGGTGTACTAAAGCTTCCCCCTTGCTGGCGTGGGTTTGAAACACAACGGGGCCGCCAACATTTTCACAAGTGGGCCAAATGCATTATTCGAATTTTCCAACCCCTTCCCCTTTCTCAAATAATCTCAGGCAAAGCTTTCCACAAACAGGAGACCTCAATTTCGGGCTTACCTCGGGCGAGTAAGACAGACCGAAAGAGGGCGGAAAAACCACAGGCATCCCCTCCGGAGCCCACTCACCGGTGCCCGAGAACAAGTACTCGGCGCACTGGTCGAGCTTTGCGGCCACGTCGAGGATGTGCACGCGTAGGTGGCTGGGGGCACTGGGGTCCTGAGTGACAACCAGAGGGTTGATCTCGAGGTAGTCGAAGTGCAAGTGGGCAAAGACGCGATGCAATTCGGCAATGAACTCGGCGAGGACTCTGGGAATGGAGAGGTCAGGATTCGGATAAAAGGACCCAAATGGCTGTCCTATGTATTCTATTAACAGTTAATCAGTATTATAACTATTTTAAAAAGAAAGTTCCATTTGCTAGAATTGGGGACGGACCTCTAGTTCCAAAATGTCGAAATGGATGACATGCTGTTGCATAAAACCAAATACTATTCCCTTAACGTCAGTGGGGAATAAAATTGACTATCACCGGAAAAACTAGGACCCTCCAGCTACAACAAATGCGACGAAAAAAGATAGGAGGAATGCACCGTTTACGGCAGTTGAGAACGGCATTGTGTACTGCTTTCAAATAAATGACAATGACTTAGAAAAACGACGGGGCTTACTGCTTTCTAGCGGGGTCAGCGACATTATTGAGTAGTCCGCTGTCCAAGAGGTTAGTTGGAGTAACTGCGTTGGAGCCATGATCGAAAAGAGATTGCGTTGTGACCTGAAACCTTTTAGCCTATAGAAAAAAAGAACGGCACAAAGAAATAAGCAAATAATATCAACAAGATTATGGTGTTATTCGAAGGAGAAAAGGCAACAAATATGAATTGAAGTAAGGGAACCATCCTAATAAACATGCCTACTTAACTAACCACGAAGTTAAGCCACAGTTAAGTTCTTTGTGAGAACTTGAAGGGGCAAAAAAAAAGAAAACTGTCGGCAGAAAGATAATCATTGAAGACAAAAAATAAATAATAACGACGAAATGATTGAAGATAAGCGAATAGAACCTTGGTGTTACCTTTGCATCGACGTTGCCTATGTCTACGCCACCCTCAGAGCAGAAGAGTATAACATCGCCATCACGCTGTGTAAACATGCATACGTAGTGCTCATCCGTCTGAAAGGGAAAAGGTACAGGTCAGACTCTACAATAATAATCGTACGACATACGAAAGAACGCAAAAATCTACGGCGCAGGCGACCTATTTGTCAACATCATTGGTATAAACAATGAGCGCATCAAATTTCAAAGGAAGTCGTTATGGCGTTAGAATGCCCATAAATGTGTTGCAACGTAACCGTAAGCAAGTAACTACATGAAAGCCCAAATATTTTTGGCCGTTTTAAGTGTTACATTAAGAAACTGTGAAGCTAGGGACTAACGTTTAACTAGAATCTATGTGGAGTCGTTGGAATGAACGCTGCACAGTTATTCTAATACTGTCCATGGCGTCTAATGAAAAACTTCTGCATAATAATAAAGGCCAAGCCGAAAAATTCTTCGCCTGAAAATGACAATTTTAACAGTAGACAGTATATGGTGTGCAACTATGAAGATCCAGAAGATTAAGCGAAAACTTAAGGCAATTGTGTGATTAAAAACCAATTTAAACAATAAACCAGATGATAAGTGATCAATCTGACAGGGAGCACTTTGAATAAGGCTGATTTTGGCGGTTGACGAAAAGATAGGCAACATTCTCGGTTTGAAACTCATAGCGTACCTCTTGGTGTTGAATGAAAGGTTCGATGAGAAATCTTTGCAAAGTTCCGCGTTTTGAGCCGATCTACGGTTTTTAAATAAACAGGACAAAACAGTGTTAAGTTGGAGAAAGTATCTATATTAAAGTATAGCACTTTTGTGCAAGCAACTTAACTTACAATCAGAGGCTGACTCGATTTCTCACTAATCCAACGGCATACGTTATTGTAATCCGAACGAACAAGAACAAGACCGAGCTTTCCTCTTCGTTTTATAAGTTCGTCAGGCTTACAAACAAGACTCTTAAAGAAATAAGTGAGTTCTTCGAATTTCCCACCTCTGTCAGAAGCCAAGGATGAAGCTGCGGGAGAGTTTGCAATTCAGCAGGAGTAGCAACAATTGATTTGTCAGTTAAATTAAATGAAGGCGAAAAAGAACTTCGGATAAGGCTCTTAGCCGTTTGTTCATATATAGCCTTAACTGACATTGTCTCACCCACTACAACGAAAATCACACCCAAAAGCAAAGTTGAGAGCAGCGCCTCAACCTCTACACCTTTACTTTAGCACACTCTAACTGCGTTAACGCACTCTTTCGAATCGATGTTTTGCGAAAGGTTTTTTTTGAAAAATAAAGGCCCATTTGAGAATTTTCAGATGGCTTGCTTATTTTTTCTTTATTACTCAATTCTTGAGATATAGACCAAGGCATGTATTCAGCTGTTTTACTAGTTCGGACGAACTTAATCAAAAGCATAAATCACTGCATACAAAGTAAACACTAATAAGATCAAGGTAACAGGGTAAGTTGAAGTAGAACTGTTAGAACGCAGCAAGAACAGTAGAAGAATGAACGGCACCAACAGGTTCGTCTACTTCTGATATGGGAGGTCCTCAGTAGTTACAAGGTCCTATAAATATGTTATTGCTTTTCTATTCAAACGTTCATTGTCATGGATGCTTAGTGAGGAACCAAAATGCTATATATACCTCCAACACCATGTGAGGATTAGTGTGATTATTGGCATATTGACAGCCATCAACAGATAGTAATGGTAAGAAGAGCCGACAAAATTTTTAATGGTAGAAACGTACTTGGGAACGCAGACGAGGGAAAGGAGCCGCAAATAGTGAATTATTGAAATAGCGAAGGTAAGGAGAGATGAGCAGTACAATGGAACCTGAGAGTGTAAGTTTAGAAAATTGACTTATACGCGTACTCAACAAGGTCAGTCTTAAAGTAAGCTGCGTTCGCTTTATTAAAGCTGACGTATAACTGGGAGAAACTGTGCGCTTTCCCTGTAAATGGGTTCTTTAAACTCCCTATTGTAACTTACATATTTCCGTTCAGCAATACTCACATCAACTTGTCCAAGGGCTACCATGGATTCAACCAACCGATGTTATAATGCTCGATCTGATTTAAGCCGTGTGCATAGCCTCTGGAAGCGCGATGCAGGTCTGTGGCTCTGTTAAGTGTGTCAGTCGCGGAACAACATTCAGGCAGCAGTCCGGCCATCGTGCCATCGGCTTGGACTATTACCGTCGTGTTACTTAGTGAAATACTGCGGTTCTTATTTTTTACATGGCCATAGGGCACAAACAAATTATCATCGTGGTCGATTGCGAACTGGTGTTCATGAAATCCCGTGCAAAAAGTTCTGCCCCTTTCATCATAGCAGTTTGGACATGGTATATTATAGACTACGTCTGATTGTTCTATCAATGTGAGCGGTCTTTAATCTTCATAATTTTCTGTTTGATGTTTTGCTCCGGCTTATTGGCCACACCAAACCTGAACGCTTTCCCGATTTTTTCCATCGCCCCTAATAAGTTCTTCACCTAACGAATTGCGAGCCAGAACTTGGGGTCTTCCTAAGACACCTTCGTATGTAGGAGTCTGGATAACTGTTGACTTTACATAGGGCATGCGAGTACTTAACCTCCTCTTTCTTCCTACTCTCATCGCTGCAGGATATTTCAATGCATTGGAAGAGGGTTCTGACACAATTGCGGTTGCATCCAACAGTGTCGTTGATTCGGAAGTGGGAGATGCGCTCAATGTTAATTTGCTTACAGTAGATCTCTAGCCTCTTATGTCCGTAGGCTTTCTGATTACCGACTCCTTCTTCCATGGTAACATCGATGTCAAGAAAGATTGTATTCAGTAATATCTTGATGGTCTTCACTTGGCCCCTCCTGATTATAATGAACGTGTCATCAATATCTGACCCAGAATTTAGGGGGGGGGTACGAAATGCAGCCCAGCTGCTAAAAGTTCAGACACTTAGTCCACACAGAAGCGAGCCCGTCGGTGTCTCCTCTTTTTCGTAAATCTGGCCATTGAACGGGAAGACAGTTTTGAGTCAAAGTTCCAAGTACTCCGTGATGTGCACTAATTTGAGTTGCCGGTCGGTTTCATGGTATTTCTCCCAGGAACACTGTTGATAGTGTTGGTAGCCCGATAAAATAGGCATCCACAACGACTTCACGTCAGGCGACACCACACCCCCCTCTGTCTCGATTTCCGGGTGTTAGATGCGAAGCAAAAAATATGTAGCAGCCTCTACATTCCGCAGCACAGAAACACATCGCTGGTATAGCCGCTCTGATAACCAAACGGTAGGATACGACCTAAGGATATAGTGAGGCGTAAGGGAACTCCAGGCTTGCGCCCACTTGCAGGCCGTAGAAAACGCGCCATCGCAGAATCGGTGGATTTTACAGCCAAAACTCTCCTTCTCGTGAATGCTGCTATCTTCGTTAACTTGCATATAATCTTACGGATAGCATTTTTGAGCAATTAGAGCTTATTAAGAACCGATGTCCAAGTTGACCGGAGTTTTGTATGCAGCGCCTGGTAGGCGGGCTGCAGGTCCATAACTCCGTTGTGTGTGACATTCGAGGACTAGATTATGAAGGTCAGCCGACCATCTTCTTATTGGCTTTGCTGTTATAAGTAAACATAGACCAAAACAGCTTTTTTCGCGGCTGATTGTAAGTTGGTGTTCGTGCAATGTTGTACTCAGAGGTTTACCCGTTTCATTAACATTCTTCGCATCGAAACGTTGACACAGTATCCTTTAGATCACTTCTAGTTGCCCACTTAGCGGAGGATTGTATATGGGCTTCATGAATTGCTGTGTGATTGTACAATCTACCTTATAGGCCACGCAGATCCCAACGGGTTTCGGAATTCTGACTCGCAATCTCTTACGTGAAAAAAGTTTCAGAAATGACTGCAAGAATCCTTAAACTGTTCGCGCTCGGCAAAACAGAGGTAAATGAACATCTTCTATTTCTTGGTAGTCAATGCATGCGGCAATAGCAGTCTAACGGATAAGGTATTTTCAGAGCTACGATCACTGACGTGCCAAAATCACCAAACTGTCGAACTATCCCGCATGTAAATAATGCATCTGAACCCTTCGAAAGACAGCTAAAAAACGCCATAAGCAAATTGCGCATCCAAATTTTACACCCCAAGGACAGGTTTGGCTATTTAAACAGAAACGTAATAGTATACAAAATTCCGTGTATTAGTTGTGATGCAGTCTATTATGGCCATACCGGATAATCATATTCTTCCGTATGAATGAACACAAATGAGCGGTGAGAAGAGGAGACCGCATATCCCAGGATGCATTTGAAAGCGTATAAATTATCGAAAATTAGAATAAGGGGAAACCTGCCGAAATTCAGCACATAGTTTCCTACAAGACGATCGCAAACTGTGCGCATCGGTGGCTCGAAATCAACTCATACCCCTGCTATAACTGATGTCCCCCAAGGCCCCACCTTGGGACCGTTGCTTTCTTTCGTCTATATCAACGACTGCGTCGACAACCTGGGTTGCAGCGCCGTCATATTTGCTGACGATATCAAACTCTGGAGAGTCATCAGGTCTGATGCCGATGGGCAAACACTTCAACCGACTTAGCAGCCAATCTGTTCGTCAGGTCTTAAATGTCAACGTTAGTTAGTTTGTGGTGTTAAGGCTCCGTACTAGAAGGACCATTGGGAGGTGGAGGGATTATTCCTTTGAATGCATCCTCGATGGGCTGAACCCCTTTCATATGTTGACGAGCAGAAAAACCTCGGTTTTCTAATAGACTGTTTCCA